ATAAAATAAAAAATTGGTTATCACAGCTGCGCGTAATCTGCTGTTTGACAACAGGAATTAGTAGTATGTTACGCGTGGTAAGATGGTAAGTTAGATCCGATTAACAACGAAATATCTTATAAGATAATTTTCTGGGCAGTAAAAAAACTCCTACATCAGTAGATGAGCTCAGCGAGCCACCGATTTCCAAAAAAATGCAGGAGAAAAAACTGCCTTAATAGGTAACATGGTATGACATGATGCAGTTAGATGGGATCCTGCTGTTGAGGGTTCGGGACACTTTATTGTCATGGGAAAAAATAATATAGCGGTGAGTTAAGAAGGGGCCATCCGGGACAACAGGAGAAGACAGTAGAAGTCAGGGCAACATCACCGAGATGCGACCCACCAGACTCCAGAGTCCACCGACAAGTTTGTGACCACGCGATAACCATCAATAGCGACCTCGAAGACCACCGCGAAGGTTGCAAAACGGAGAACAGTTTGCAGCATTTGGAAATGATGCTTGACTCTGCAGGGGAAAATGCTAAATGTATGTTTGCTGCAAATTCCCTATTCAGCCGAATTCCGCAAGACCGCTCTTGCGTGTACTGCGGAAAATAGCATGGCAGAGGAGATATTTCGCCTTTTAAATATCCTTTGTTAAAACCTTTTTTTTAGGTAATGTCTTAAGTATGTTGGACATTTCGGGTATGTATGCAATAGCATAATTCAGGAGGCGGAAAGTTAGTCAGGAGTATGAACAAAATTGTCTGGGCCTTGGGGACTAATTGATCAAGACACCTTTGACGGTACATGCATTTACTTGACAGGATGCACAGTATACTTCCAAGGGATTATTGAATACAGATTCCCATCAAGGCGAATTAGTAAATGCAATGGTGTGTTTATTTAGCATAACTGTCTACTTATTGAGTATTAGTAGGACTGTTTTTTTGATACATTAGGGTAGGCTGTGTTTCTCAGCACTAACGTAGGACGTAATCCATCCACATACTCCATCGTACCCCTTCACGGAAACCTTTAGTGTATGTATTTTATAGGTCTTTGGGCTTCGCTTTAGAAGGTGGCATTTATTTGTGTCACGCTGCATTTTCCGTGGTTGGGAAATATACTTTTAAATCATAAATCAACCACCAAGATTGCTTGACTTTTGACCTAGACCACGATTAAAGGGCATTAACGGCTGGAGTATAAATCTTATAATGATGGAGAAAAGGGATCACGCTGTGACATTATAGAGTGCAGTCAACTCATAAAGGGAGGAAATTTAGAAAATCTCTCTGAGCATTTCGTATTTTCCTTGAATCTTCCAGAAACGCTCCTACCGTATCTTACACAGGGGCATTTTTCGCACAAATACTAGTCAATCCCAGCAAAGTAACAAAATGGGAAACACCAGCAGGCTGTGCAATACCACTGTCTACTGATAATGTCTAGATGAACGAATCGAGAAGTATAACTATTTTCCGCAGTACAATTGACAGTGAAGAGGTTTTGGGGTTCCAGTCCTCTTCAAGAAGCCTACCATCGGTACTTCCAACCTCCTGATCCATTTGGCTCGAATTAACGAAAGTCTGCGCTCTTCTCAGAGGGCACCCATGGTTCATTGGTTCAGTGTATTGAGGGTAATAGGCGCTGCTTTTAAGAACGGTATACGCAAACATACGTACATACTGTTAAGATTTAAAAAATGCGTTGCTATAGAATAGGGATCGCA